TAGGTAGAGGAGGATATACCAGAGGTAAAAAGGCAGGGCGGCGGAAGAGGAGGAGATGAGGAAGAGAAGGAAGAGGAGAAAGAGAGAGAAGGGGAAGAGGAGGTGGAGAATGAGGAAGAGGGGGATTAGGAAGATGGGCATGAGGAAGAGGAAGAGGAGGAAGAGGGAAAGAGGAGGAAGAGGGAAAGAGGAGGAAGAGGGAAAGAGGGGGAAGAGGGAAAGAGAAGAAGGAGGAAGAGGAGGAGGAGCAGCAGCAGCAGGAGGAGGAGGAGGAGGAGGAGGAGGAGGAGGAGGAGGTGGAGGTCAAACTATTTCACGAATGACCAATCACTCTGTAATTTTCAAGTGACAAAAAGTTACGCTTTACACCACCAATTCAAATACAAAAAAAAAACAACCCAAATTAAACTTAGAACATTATCTAGGTAATTATAATTTCTATTACTCGACTGTCTCTTAATGTAAACAATTGCAGACCGGAAAATTAAACAAATATCAGGAGATCTTTGCAAATTGCAAATTTTTCAGCATAAAATGTGTTAATCCCGTCATATTACTTTCTGCCTCGTAGCCATACATAACAAGAATGATTCTTTATGACTGCTGACGCTAGCGTGTAACAATTGGGGGATGTGACAACAGTAGCCACAGACATGCTGATATAACTTACATACTAGTTTACCAGTTATCTCACCGATATACTAGTCCATCAGTGAACGCCAGAACTACGCCAACCAATCAATTATTTAGGAGGACAATAAGGTCTGCGACATTTAGATATCCTGATTGTGGGGGAAAACGCCATTAAATCTATCTCAGACACCGGATCAGCAATAAACTTCATTCACAGCAAAGTGAACATTGCCTAGACGATTCGGCACGGATACTATTGTATACATAGCTTGAACGCGATGGCACGGATACTATTGTATACAGAGCTTGAACGCGATGGCACGGATAATGTTGGATACAGAGCTTGAACGCGATGGCACGGATACTATTGTTTACAGAGCTTGAACGCGAAGGCACGGATAATATTGGATACAGAGCTTGAACGTTATGGCACGGATACTATTGGATACAGAGCTTGAACGCTATGGCACGGATACTATTGGATACAGAGCTTGAACGCGATGGAACGGATTCTATTGTATACAGAGCTTGACCGCGATGGCACGGATACTATTGGATACAAAGCTTGAACGCGATGGCACGGATACTATTGTTTACAGAGCTTGAACGCGAAGGCACGGATAATATTGGATACAGAGCTTGAACGTTATGGCACGGATAGTATTGGATACAGAGCTTGAACGCTATGTCACGGATACTATTGGATACAGAGCTTGAACGCGATGGCACGGATACTATTGGATACAGAGCTTGAATGCAATGGCTCTCGTACACATTTATGCCACATTTTTGTCTGAACAGTATTAAATCTATCCTTTTAAGGAAAGGAATTCATTTTGTCTACATCTAGGAGGTCATAACAACCATTGGTTTACTGGACATAGTCAACGAATCGCGTGATTTTATGCAACCTATTATGTCTTTAACATGAATAAAATGTTCAATGTTCATTTTAGCATATTAATAGTACTCAAAAGGCAGACGGTAAACAAAGTACGCTTACATTACGTTATGACGGTATATCAAACAACTACTTGATGAGGTCAACTGTCTCATGACAAATATGTCAGTTTCCACAATGGGTCCTTTGGTGGCATATTTCTGCCTTCGAGTTGCAGACCTACGACTTGATGATGTCGACATTATCTTTTATGTCGACATCATTAGGTCGTAAGTGGGCAACTCGATGTCAGAAATATGCCACCAAAGGGTAACAACATACAGGCTGTAAATATTTTCAATGATTTGTTCACGTCATGCTTGATACTCTAGGGGTTACGCTCACTGGCACTCCTGGAGTATCAAAATAGCAGAATTGAAAATACGCAATTAGCCATAAGATTTGTCTCAGGTAAGAAGTCTGCCCAATCACTAGGCTGATACATGTTTTTGAAAACATTTACAGAGAAGCGTCACCCGACTTAAAAGCAAGTCAATTTTACCATTACGCGTCCGCGATATTCTTTTGATGTACACCCTGGAGTATCGAGCATGGGCATATTCCAGGGGTGCAGAGAGCGTAAGTGAGCGTTACCCCTGGGTTATCGAGCAAGGGCATATTCCAGGGATACAGAGAGCGTAAGTGAGCGTTACCCCTGGAGTATCGAGCTTGGGCATATTCCAGGGGTGCAGAAA